ACATATTTGAAAAGTTTGCCGAATTTTAAGTGAAGTTTTCTTTTCCAGGAACATGCAACTGGAGCTTATAAGCCTTTTCTCCGATATCTAGTGCAAAATGAATATAAAAAATTAATGTTAAAAAAAAACTCTATGTTAAAAATGAGAATAAAATTCAGACTTAAAGGAACCGGCCGGGCATCAGTGTACTTAAGTGGAAAATGATTGCTCTCACTTCAGTGACTGAACTCAATTGCCTGAAAATTAGGCTGAAATTGTCAGGAGGCCCAGAATCCTTACATGGAACTTTTAAAATATATCTTACTTAATCACCTATTTGAGCAATGTTCACCTTATTGAGTATATTTCAACTTCACCTATTAGTTCCTCAACAAAATACTTTATACCAGAAAGAAACTCAGTTGAGGTTAAATATTGAAAGCAATGTTCAAACTGTATACTAAGCAGGATGCTTAAGACCTTAACACATTAATACAAAATGTTTTCAGATATTAATTGGTAAACGTCGAAATGCTCTTTTGCAGGCTCAGCTGAGCATTCCCGACGTGGTTTTGTGGATGATCAGCGGTAATAAACGTATTGCTTATGAAAGAATACCAGCTCATGACGTCATGTACTTGAAATCTAAAAATAATGACGCATGTGGGAAATTCTGCGGAAAAGTCATCGACTTGTCTCTTAAAGTAACTTCTAATATTGTTTTATTCTATATTCTAATACTAATAAGCTTGTTTTTTATAACTTTAGGATTGTTCTTAAGGTTTAAACAATGATTAATATGCAGTATATATTGCCCGGTAATCATCCATCGGCGCCGGCCAGAATAAAATAATACCTGTTTTTACAGTTGACCATATGCGCAAATATGCTTTTGTTTATAACAATGGACGAATAGTTAGATTTACACCAAATTTGCTTGGAGCAAATATACTTTAAAACTAAAGGACAAACTCTGGTTCGAAAAGCCGGCGAGTCTGTCCGTTTTAGAATAGAGGAGAATTCTTTCATGTTTTAGACAAGCTCACTTTTTCAGTGAGAAGATAAAGCCGTATACAAACAACTGAAAACACACACAAACGCAAAAGTCAAGCGGTATTCAGCTGTATCCAAAGCCCAAGTTATGGAAAAAGAGCAACACACTTCACACTGCAAAACTTAAGAAAGTCTTGAATGGCAAGTATTGAATGATAGTTATAATTCAAGAAAGGGCCCGTCTGAGTCTAACAATCTCACGATCTGTAGTCTCATGGTCGTTTTTTGAGCTAATGTTATGAATGAACAATGACAGATAAATAACTTAATTTCTTGAAAATTTTTATTCAAAAACCCATCAGTTAATCCTAAAAAGCAATTGGCGTAAGACAAGTTAAATCGCTGCGTTCACGCAAGTTAAATCGGTCGAGCACATGGTAAAAAAAAATCAATTTCAAATGCACATTATGTGGTTTTTCTTTCACGCCGATGTCAAAATGTAGAAAACGTCCATGAAACCTTTATAAATACAAATATTTCTTTTCAAAAATCCTACTTTTCTTTGATTATAGAGTACGGAATGTACCTCAAGTGTGTTCAGAAACCTCGCCAAGGTTCAAAACAACCCAAGCGCTCCGATCCGACGTGTAGAAAACAAGGTTGAATTCCCCGAAAGACAATTTCTTAGCGAAAAGCTTTCGTTTGTCCACAAAAAGGAAGCTAAGCATTCTTTTGAACTTTCTCTTTCCATTTGTGTCTTTTATCGGCGTATTTTCAAACTTGAAATGCAAAACTTTAGTCTTGAAAACCACCACATCATGAACACGCGCCAACCATTTTGTTGATGGATGACATTTACAAAGGTGTCAAATCCGTTTCTTCCCTCACCCTTTAAATGGTTGACATGACCATTGGACGTTTGTGGGGGAGTGGGTATGGGTGATTTTACTGATTTAGTTTGTATATGGAAAAATTTTCTCCCAAACCTCTGAGGAGTTAGAAACTTTTTCCCCAACATATAAAGGTGTAAGACTTTTGTCAGCATTGTACGTTATGAGCGATGTTTTTTTCTGTGCAGGATATTTTTCTCCCAGGAATTTATTTGCATGAGTTTTTCCTCTCGAAATTACCCATAACCCCCTCAAAAGTCAAATGGTCGCCACTAAAATCCACCAAATATTTGGTCAATTGACAGATTCTGATTTGTCAATCATTTCTAAAGGCTTTTGAAACAAAAGGGGACAAAACTCTCTAGGGGAGAGAGGAAGAATTCGTTTCCGCTTACCCCTACCCGCAAAGTCCGTACGGACGTACGAACGCACGTACGGTGAAGTCATAACCAAATTTTCTCGGGTGGATGGTTTACCAAATTCTATTACCCATGGTGCTCTGCTGCGCGATCCTATATTGATCATTTACATCGTTCTTGCAATCTTAACAAAGACTTATAGATTCTAAGACGAGTAGGACTATGAGTACAAGATTTTGTGAATACTAAGTAGTGCACGCGCGTGAGCAAGCGTCATTT